CCCCCCCCCCCATGGTATCACTTAAGTTGAAGAGAACTTAAATTTAATGGAAATTCCTTCCACAACCCCCACAAGCCCCAAGAAATCCAAACTGCTTAAATCTCTCTCCTGCAGCCCTCGCTTGTTTGCCTCACCAACAACAACTAGAAGGGATTCAGTAATCCAGCACTGTTATTGCATGGACTGTGGAAAAGATACAGATTGAGTCTTGTCTGAACTTCACAGTGTAACATTATACAGAAACTTTCCTTTTCATATATATAAATCTGCACTGATAAAGTTTGAAGAGCTCTGTCTCTATCAGGCTAACTCTTCAGCCTACAGAGTGCAAAATCAAATTAAGAACGACATCTGCCCAGTATTTCACTGGATGCCACAAACGTACATCTTCCTCTCTGCAGACCTCTTCTAGGTGAGATTTCAGCCTGCATTACACTTCGACACTCTGCCGACTTCAGTGACCTTACGCCCACTTTCTGTGTATATTCTGTACTTTCCCGCTGACCAAAAACTCCCTCCACCCAGAAAGCGACAGAACTCTGTGCTGTTTATGAACGGTCATGTGCCAATTCTCAGCTCTTCTGCAAAAATGTGTTCAACACAAGATCTTCAGTTCCCGCTTATTTTAGACGCATTTTTATGCAAAGCTATCACAGATAATCCTTTAACACCCTGAAGCACTGCATGACTAGAATTTCCTGTACCTTCCATCCACATGGACCCCCTTTGCATTACCTCAGTGTAGTTTTTGTTCCTTTGTTCCTTGCTGAACTACCTGGGGAAAACACACTACCAACAACGTTGTACTTCTCCACGCAGCTGCAGGTCTAGAAGAGACACCCAACGCTCACAGAATGTCAGGATGGTGCCTTTGTGAACTCCATTTCAGACCATCCCAGTTTCGCATTCATGCAAAGCTTCACTTGTCCCTTCTCCCTCCTGCCCTACCCTCCAGCGGGTTCTTAAGTTCCTTCTCTCGGTAGCGGTACTCGGGTAACGCTCTGCAGAGCACAGCCACTGCTCACTGGCTAGGGAGCTGGCAACCTCCAGGGCAGAGGCACAGTTAATTCTTGGCCTGAAGACTCGAAACAGTAGCGCATAATAATGGATACTTCAGTTCACAGAATTTCAACATACACATTTATTTTCCATTATTCCTACACCGAAACCTCAAGGAAAGAGAATGACACTAGCATGACGTGGACTTACAACCACCGAGTCCTCTCATGACAAGATTACATTAGAGAAACTGAACTAGGCTTGCAGAGGCTTTATTTTATTGCAGTAAATATTTATTCCGGTATCTAGGGGGATATCATGTAAGCTGCACATTCTCCTGCTCTGCCACTCGTTAAAAATCAGAGGGCCTGTCAAGGTTCCCTTGCCTCGCTTGGGAAGTATCCACTTACAATACAAACAGCGTGAATCACAGCTCTCGCAGGCGTCACCGCGAGTGCTCTGCTGTTACCGCGCAGGGCACCAACACGGCCCACGGCGAGCAGGGGACCATTCCCGCAGTCGCTCCTTTGGTCACTGCTATCAGACACCGCAAAGACTGCCTGCTTGGGAACGCGCTTCGCTTCATTTTGATTTAAACTTGCCAGGCAGAAGCTGGGCGTTTCACGCTACCTTGGACCGGGGCTGGGGGGGGGCAGCCTATTGAGATGATCAGGTGAAAAATTACAGAAATGGTAACTATTTACTCACTGAGTGTCTGCTCCCAGGAGCATCTCCACCTTCTCCCCTGCGTGGTTACTGAGGACCACTAGCCTGAAGAGGTGAGCTGCAGAACTCTGCCGCGAGTAGAGCATAGCTGAAGCGTTCTTTACAGGAGAAGAAGTCAGGTCCTCGCTGTCGCACTGTTGTACCACCAGCTGGTCCCTTAAAGAATAATCTGTGACGTTGTAACTCTCTTCACTGCAAAACAAAGAAGGGAAGAAAAAACCCCATGGGTTTGATGTTTAGTTCTCCGTTAAGCATGTCTGGAAGCAAACTCAGTCGTAGAATCCACTTTTAACTACACAGCATGGCACAATTCTGCTGACACCTCAGATCTTCATCTTTTCTGTTTGTTTGTTTTTGAAACTACCAATTTTCCAAGACAGAAAGTAGATCAGTTTTTTAAACCCTGTGGAATTTCATTTAGTGGCACAGTTAAATGACTTTGACGTTCTTGACATAGTATAAGCTCAACTTAACTCCGCTAAATTTGAAAACAGGCACAGCAATTATACAGAATTGCACTTCTTTTTCTTCTGTAGTTTCAAATGAACAACAGAGCTTAATTTTAGAATGGTATAGGAAAAAAATGTAAAATTTCCTTTTTCCTGTAAAACTATGGTTATGTATACTGCTTCCAGAAAAACACTATTGATCTTCATTCTAAATGCAGGATAATCATCTGTACTCCTTGTCCATCTGCATGTAGAAGGTCTAGTCCAAAAACTATTTTACAATATTCTGAAACATAACCTTAGTCAATTGTGAATTTTAAAAACAGGCAAAGGCTTGTCACACACTATTGGTCTTGCAAAATGCACTGTGAAATTTACCTTTTAGAAAGTACTTCGTAAATAAATATAACTCTAAGTGATATGAATAAAGATTGCTCCATGTGGTTAGTAACTTCCCAAAAGCGACTAGAAAGAATTCTAAGAAATTGAGCAAGTTGGAAGCTTTGCTTTCCTTATGATTGAAATGTAGGTGGAGAGGTGGACAGAAGTTACCTTTGCTGACACAATACCATGTTTGACACAGAAAACAGAAACAGTCTGAACTACTTCTTATGTCAAAGTCACTGAATGTTGAATTATGCCAAAATGATGTTAAGGCAGTTTTCCAGACAGGTGAAAACACACAAACATTAAGACACCACAAATCAGAATGTAAGAGCGTTACTGATCTTAACAACAGAAGGACTTTAATGAAAATATGCACTCTTCCCTGAAGAGCAGACTTTTATTTCTAAATGTGAGAATCACTTCAGCTAACCAAGATGTTCCTGGCAGGCAAAGACAGGGCGCAGACAGGAAGCAGCGTGTCTGGAGAAGGCACCCGCGTACACACCACGCTGCTGGATGGTAGCAGGGAACGGTTCCCTCGACCCCTCTGTTCCCCAATCCATTACGATGTGTTTACAGCTTCAGCTTCACGACACCCGCTCCTCAGCGGCGCTCTTCAGCACTCTTAGGTGAGTTCCACCAGTTATCCTATCTACTGCGTTTGCTACTTTCTCATATCAAGGCAATACTGGAAACGTATTTTTTCCAAGTGGAAAATAACTGTCCATTTCCCAATTTTTAAAGTCATGAAACATAGTTAAAGAAACTGTTAGAAGAATCTACATCACTTAAGAAATAGCAATTGATCACAAGAAAAGAGAAGCCAGCTGAAAAGGCCTTTTTCTTTCCCCTGAAGCTTGTGAGCCTATTTCCCAGAATGGTCTTACATGTGTTTGCAAGTTTACCAGGATGTATCATAAACCCAGGACACTGGTAAACTAATTACCTCGTAATTTCATGTAAGCTTGTAAACTTTTTTCAGATTTATTGCCCTACACTAGTGCAACAAGAAAAGAGAGAAAAAACCTGCTTAGGCATAACACAGGCATAACGCCAGTTCTCCCTCCTAGCCCATACATTGCTGTGTTTGTCAAATTTTGCAGTGAATCAAATATATCAAATTTTAAGGTGCAACTACACATACACCACCTTAAAGTAAAATGTATTTAGACCTCAGTCTCGAGTGATGAAAAGCTATGCTAGAGCCTCATATTACCACGGTTCATTAAAATCATTTAAATTGAAAAAATACTTGAGAAGATTAATTTTGCTGCCAGAGTTATACAGAAACCTAAGCACTGAACTGATACAACTCAAATCCCAAACACCTGGAACTGAAGCAGTGGGAAACGCTGATGGTGACATCGCCCTTTCTGGTAGGTGCAAATGAAGCGTAGTCTTCCTTTATGGTTGCTCAACTATTCTAAGAAAAGGGACAGATGATGACTTGGTGCCTGTTGGGACATACTCTACCCATTTTGTGAACTGTCAGAAAAATACCTGCGAATTCCTCAGTAGTTAATGTAATGGTCTTTGTAATCCTTATTTTTAATCCTTCAGAAAAAGAATAGCTAAAACACAACTGAGCAACATTATTACTCAAAACATGAGTTATTGCTGATTTCTGTGACTCGTGCAGCATTAGAAGAATTTCTCTATTCTTCAAGTGATGACAGGTTTACAGATCCTATTGTATTTGTGGATTTCTGTGGATTAATAGTTTCTGCCAGTGCATCTAGTGTAAAAACTAAGTTTTATTTCAACTATGTGGGGTACGTTCTTACTTTTGTTCTGGGAATTAAATAATTGAAATGCTTTTTTTTCAGTACAGCTTTGTACATTCTCAAACAATCGACAGAGTTCCATTACTATCATGTTCTAATCCTTCTCGCAAGTATTTTTTCTTCTCACCCTTTGCTGAGGAGTTTGGGGGCTTTACAAAGGAAGCAGAGGCAATGACAGACAAGCTTAGTTAGATTTATCGTATGGAAGGACTGAAATCACTGTAGCTCGTAAGATGAACGCTTTCCTTCCCCATTTCTCTTTCTCCAAGTCTCAAAATGGTACCAACAATTCCCCACAAGCTGCTGGCGTTTTCCACTCTGAGGGCTGGAACCACAACTCCCCACTCAGGTACCGCTGACAAAGGCACAACACATACCAAAACTTCCACAAGCGCTACTGCAAGAACTTAAAATGGCTTTAAAAACTCTCCACACAGTTTTGATTAACCTAGCTTTTGACAGGACTGTTGCTTCCATGTTCCTTAGAGTAAAAAAAAACTTTAAAATAAATCACATAGGAAATAAGATGGACACAGCAAACTCTTTTAGAGCTCTAAAAATGAAGCCAGGTTAATTATGCTATTACACATGACTTCTTGGGTCCCAAAGTAGAAATAATACAGACTACAAATAGGTTTTGGCCTATTTAAAGGAATTTAACATGAGCGCACTGAGAAGCTGGGAGAATCTTCAATATTTCAGCATGTGGAAAGCTAAGTTTTCATTTCTGCACATACAACCCAGGGATGCTAAAAGGAACCTTAATTCAAATGTGCTCTGCGTGTCCTTATCTTTTGGGAAAGGGGCACACACAGCTCTTCCCTGAAGCATAACAAATTTAAACTTACTGCGATTGTCCTACTGTAGAAAAGCCCAAGTGTTTTAAGAGAGGCTATGCGAGGGGAGGGAGTGGAGACTGTGGATTTAGGTTTCACATTCCCCATTTAGTTGTATATAACAAAACTTTATTAATTCTGCAGTTCTCCTGAACTCTGCAGAACGCAGAGCAAGCTCAGAGGCAGCTTGGAGCATTAGTGGCTAACATATGTAACCAGATCTTCGTGGTCCCAGGAGGGCATGTGGAATCAAAGGAGGCATCTGACTTTGGTAGAGTTCAAAGCCAGCTGCATCCTACTTCTAGCAGAATATTGTTACAGTGTACGCTTCCAAGCCTGCAAAAGGCACTGGAGAAATCACCTCTTCTGCAGCCTGGTCCCCTCCTCGGGCAGCTGTAAAGTGTCTGCTACAGAAACTCCACCAGGCCTGGCAACAGACAAGTACCCGTCTAAGCGCCGCAGGGATGCTCTCCGCTGTGCCGGAGGGGTGCGGATGGCACTCACACCCAGACTTGCGGTTCAGAACAGGGAGAAAACGGAGAACTCACTATGAAGGAAATACGTACGAACATAAAAAAAGTAGTATGTGTATTTAAACTAAGTATTCTATATTTTAATAAAGCACTAATTTCACTATACTTTGTGGAACCTGGAGTAGTTTATTCACTAGCCCAAGAGAAAGCAAATCTCCCAAGCACGACACAAGTAACAACAATTGCACCGTAGAGCACGTGAATCACGAGGCAGCTTGAAAGAACAACCCTAAGAGATTAATTACGTTGCATGTTACTCCTTACGTCAGAGTACTACCTTCAAAATTCAACGTCAGCATAAGCTATTGGTTTACTGGTCCCTGGAGTGGATGTCCTGGCCAAAATGGTGGCAACGCACAGTACGGCAAGGAGGTAAATGAAAAAAAGAACAAAGCCAGAGAAGAAGCAAAAAGAGAATGGAGTTAGAGAATGAAACAAGAGTGAAACGCTACCACAAAGGTGAATGAACAATACATGAACTATTTAGGTTACTGGAAAGTCAGTCTAACACTTGGATCTTTGCAGAGCATTGACAATGTTCAACTTGCCAGATTTCTAAGTTAACTTCCCAGAGCTACCTAAGCAGAGAAAGCAAGCTGCTCTTCTAGAGGGCAGCCTGGACAAGCTGAATTAAGCTTCTACTTAGAACCG